CCCAGCGGCGCCGCCCCGGGCACCAGGACCCTACTATCACGGCAACCCCAGCGTGGAGTCCAAAATCGTGCCCTTCTGGGTGATGCCGCCACCAGAGGTGGGTGGTCTCCATCCCTTGGGGGGGTTATTTGGGGTGGGGGTGGCTCTATTGCAGTGGGGGGACACCCCCCCACTCCTCATTCCCCCCTCCCCATCCTCCAGCAACGGCCCAACGACTATGGCATCCCCATGGAGGTGGAGGTGGCCTACATCCAGGATGGGTTCCTCACCAATGATGTCCTGCAGGAGATGGTGAGAAGGGGGGCCCCAAAAAAACCCCCTTTGCCCCAACGCAGCTCTTGTCACTTGTCCCTGTCCTGCCATCAGCCCTGGTGACAGTGACCATCTCCGTGCTGCTGTGGTCAGCTGGGTGCTGCAGGGGGGGGCCACCTGCCCAGCCCCCCAGGTAGCCCCTCTGTCCCCCCACCCCAGACGCTGCTGGTGGAGTTTTACAAGGGAGCCCCTGACCTGGTGAAGTTTCAAGAGCTGTGGAGTCAGGACCAGACCTACCTGGACAAGCTGAAGGTGAGGAGGGGGCTTCCTGCTCTGGGCTGGCTGGGGAGGGGGCTTTAGCCAGGGCCCCAGCTCCTGCCTCCCCCCCATTTAATTAACATGGCTCCATCCCCCTCTCAGGGCTCCCTGGCCTCCCCCACCCCCAAAGACCAGAACTTCACCCACATCCTGGAGCAGATCTACAGCCTCCTCAAGCTCAGCAGCTGAGGGGCCGGGACCCCCTCCTCAATTCAGACCAGGTGCTTTCCCAGCAGCCAGGGCTTGGCTCAGCACATCCCCCCACCCCCAGCCTGAGGGGCTCATCCAGACCCACCCTGGGGGGCAGCCCCGTGGGGTCACCGCATCGCCCGCTGCTTCGGGGAGCTCATCAAGAGGTCCTGGGACCTCCCCAGCACCTGCCTGGCCCCAGGAAAGCACCACGGGGTCACCACATCACCTGCTGCTCCATGGAGCTCATCCCGAGGGGTTCTGGGACCCCCAAACTCCTGCCCAGCTCCGGGAAGGGTGGTGTTGGTCTGGGCTGTCAAGTTGTTCGTGGACGTGGTAGTTGATTAAAGCAGATCCTGAGAGGTGGCTGGTGTGTGGCTCCACTGGCTTGGGGAACATCTTGCTGGTGAGGGGACAACACTGGTGGCCTCCCAGGCTCTCCCCACCATCCATCTGCTTAGTTTTATGGGGGGAGAGGTTCATCCAGGGCTGCTCCTCCATCCCACCCCAGCTCCATGTGCTCACAGAGGGGACGGGGCCGTTAGAAAGAAGAAAACATTTAATACTTTCATTCAGAGAGAGAGACAAGTTGAGATTTGTGGGTCTTTTTCCTCCTGAAAACCAGGAGAAACCATTAAAAAAAAAAAAAAAAAAAGCTCTTAACAAGTTATCCCAGCTGAGAAAAGTCCAAAAAAAAAATCCATTTCCATCCACCTGAGCAGGAGTCAGGATGTGACCCCCCCCCCCATCCCCACTGGGAAGGGGACAGAGATGAAGGGTCCCAAGGGCACAGGTGCCTTGGGTTGCCCTGGGACTGGGGTCCCAGTGGGACAAGGGGTGGGCCAGACATGGACATGCATGGTTAAAATCATTCCAAAGGAGCTGTGTGACTGTAGGAGGAGTTGGGAGCAGCAGGGACAAGGACACGTGGGGCTGGAGAAGAGCTGGGGTTTGGCCAGAGGTGCTGGACCCAGGGCCAAGGGGAAGGGTGAGGGATGAGACCACTTCTTAGTGGTCAAGGAACACCATGGAGGGAGAGATGGAGCAAAACCTGCCCCTGCCAGGCCCCATCCTGCCCCCCAGGATGGGGAACACACTGGGAGATTTGGCAGAAGGTGCTGAGATGTAGGACACCCATCCCCCCCCACATCAGGTGGCAGAGGGGCATGGAGGGTTGTGTGTGTGTCCCCCCCACCCAGGGAGGGGGGCTCTGGGGTGCAGGGAAGGCACGTGAGGATCAGCTGAACCCCTGTCTGGTGGCACCAGGTGCTGATGGTTTCCCTGGGGTCAGGAGCTCCACTCTGCCCCACGGTGAGCAGATCTCCAGGCTGTGGTCCCATTCCACATCCCCCACCACCCCAAATTATCCCCCCCCAGCTCTGAAGGACACCATGGAATAGGGACAACTAGAAGTCCAAAAGGAACCTGGCTGAAAACACTGCAAATCCAGGGCAGGAGGGAGCAGCCCCAGGACTTTGGAGTGGAACTCTGTGGGCAGAGGACAGGGGGGCTGCCAGCAGGCAGGGGACAGCCCTGCTGTGACCCTGCAGCATGGCCCCCCAGCCCCGTGGGGCTGGTTTAGTGTTTGGTGGGTGCTGTAGTGTTGCTGTGCCACCAGATCCCTCCCTTGAGCCCCCCCAGGAGCAGAACCTGCTTTGGTGTTGGGCATCCATGGGGAGAAGGGTAGTGTTGGATGGGGTGGGGTGTGGGGGCAAAGGGCTGGCTCCTCGGTGGGGTTGGGGGCTGCTTTGCCCTCCCTAGGTGAGGGAGACATCCTGGCTTTCCCACCTGGCTCATCCAGATGCTTGACCCAAAGGAAAGACAAAAAAAACTGGCAGAGGGAAGAGGCCGGGGAGGACCGAGGGGGGTGGGCAAAGTACCGAAGTTCAAGCACCAGAAGGACAAAACGAAACAAAAAAACCCCACCAAAAAAAACCCAAAAACATAAAAATCAAATAACCAAATTCACAGGAGGCGGAAGGGGGAGGTGTTTGTGTAAGGGGAGGGGCCGTCAGACCCTTCTGGCTTGTTCCCTGGTGGCAATCTGGCCCCGAGGTGACACAGAGAGAGGACACACGGCCCCGCTGTCAGGAGAGACCTGGATTCGGGAAGATGGAATGATGGAAGGCTCTGCCCGGCGCGGGGGGG